CAAAAATTCATCAGTACCATCACACAAATCTTACAGGTGACAAAACCGGGGTCCAGTAACATACAGCCAGGTCACTGAGCTGGTTAGCAGCAGAGTGAGAATTCAAGACTAGACAGAGTTCACGTGATGCAGAAAAGCCATTATACTATTTGCAATCTTGTTAGTCATTGTTGGGCTTTTGTACCTGGGCCTGAAACTGCCAGGTACAGTCACACCCTGTGCCTTCAGTAACTTGGGCTCTGAGGTCTCAGCATCATCTACAAACTAATGTTTCCCACGTGAGGAGTCATATTTTCAAATGTAAGGAAAAGCTCTTGCATAAAACATATACTCATTTAAATGCGTTACTGAATATACATATGCTTATGGTCCCTTGTAATTCTTCCTCAAAGGGTGGTAAAGTTACAATTACCATCAGGGGGAGCAGGAGCTGCTCTATAAAATGTTTTGATTCTATGAAAGAGTTTGAAAAGTTCAGGAACCACCTGATAGACTAACACACCGATGCCCCAGAGGTAGCACATCCTGGTCAAATTCACACACAGCTGGGACCCAAGAGGGCACTAAGAGCTGGGCGGGTCTCCCTTTCTGCCTGGGCAGGGCAGCCCCCCTGACATCTCATTAAGGGGGGCCTGCCTCAGGGTTGCAGGGGTGGGCCTGGGGGATATAGCCCAGTGGGGTATGGAGTTTGAGAGACTGACTATACAGCTAGGAGAAATTAAGGAGCCTCTCCTGCCTCCCAGCATGGCAGGAGCAATTCCAGAGACCAAGAAAGGGCCCAGTCTTACCTGCTATTATTGCTCAATCTTTCATTTGCAGATCTTGCTGGGAAAAAGCCAGCTACGCGTGGAAAAGCGAGAAGATGGGGATGGGAGCCTCTTTTATTGGAGGAGGTACCCAAGGACACAAAACCAGGCTGAAGGGAAAGACACCCCCACTTCACTCCCATGGAAGGAAGCCAAGGAAAGAATTTTCAGATATGGGGCACAATGTAGTATTTTTCTCTTGTTTTTAATCTCAACAATCCTGTAATGCAGATCTGACAACTCCTATTTTCACAGATGTGCCTCAGAGCAGCTAAAAGCTATTAAGAGGCAGAGGCAGTGCCTAAACTAGACCCCCACACTGAGGGGCAAGATCTGTGTTGGGGGGGAGGTCTGAAGGGGAGAGGAGGTGCCGCCCCAGCCCCCACACTGCCAGCTTCACGGACATCCTCTGCCTGCCTTTGTTCACAAAACCGAAAAAGTGATGATGGCTTTCCTTCCTCTCTTTAAGAAAACAACAGAATCAAAACAAACAGAGAAGGGGAACTCCCCTCCAGCAGCTTTTGCCAGAAATAAAAGGAAGAAAGCGTCCCAGTCATGCCCTGGGCTGCCCTGCTACTGGGACAGGGTCTGGGAGGGGAAGAGAGGGCACCCCTCACAAAAATCAAGAGCTTCAGTGCCCCCCACTTTCTGGCACCCACCCAAGCTCAGTTTTCTTCCCAGCAGCCTATCCCCCATGGGTCATCTCTCCATCCAAGATGGGACACACAGCTGAGGCAGCTGAAACTTGCCAGAGGATTTTAGTAAATCATAAGGAAGGGCAAAGAGGAGATAAAAACATGCAAGTCCAAGAAACAAAAACAGCCCCCAAAATGCACTGCAGCATTGTTGGCCTCCCATGGCCACTTCCCACTCAGAACTCCCAGGCCCTGTCCCATTCCTCATCCTGAGCTACTTTCACTGAAGCTCCCACAGGGCAGGAAGAGCTTCTCAGGGGTCTCTTCCTTCCTGGCTTCAGGCTTGTTTGTACTTTAGCAACCCTGCAGTCCAAGTCTGCAGAAGCCTTGAGCTGTGGTAACAGAGATACCTAACCCCTGGCCAGGGCCCTCCCATTCACCTCCTAATTCAACTTGTAGTTCCATGTGTCCTGTGTGCTGACTGGCTCACTTGGGGTGACTGACAGCTGCAGAGACCAGCCCCTGCACACTGGGTGGCGGCCTTAAAGGCTCAGCAGTGTCATCCCACCTGTGCGGGCAGTGACAGGATTTGGTTTCACAGAACTGGCCCATCAGTCAGCCTCACTCTTTGACTGGGACCCTGGGGCTAGCAGTACCTCTGGAAACTTCCTGGAGACACTAAAGAATTTGTGATTGCAGCTGAAGGTGTTTTTCCCCTTTGAGACAAATTCATCTCCACAAACATTAAATGAATGCTACATGCTCAGTGCTGTACCTGGACCTGTGGGAAATGTCAAAGACAGATGAGTCTCAGAGTCTCCCAGAACCTGGGAAAGATGTTGGGGAGAGAATTGTGTCTAAACAAAGAAGCTAAACTGAAACTCCTCTCTTCTTGGAGCTGTGGGAGGTTAGATGGAGAGACTTTTGTGAAGTTGCTATTTGAGGATTACTGCACTACTGGGCCCTGAGTTCCCTGGGGGCAGGAACTGCCTTGTCCTTCTTGTATCCCAGGGTGACAGATCCAGAACTTAGTAGGTGCTCATATTGCAGTGGTTCACAAGCGCTTGATAGCACTGTCTTTAACCCTTGCACCACCAGGGAGGCCCCTAAAACAAATCTTTAAAAGTATAAAAAGTACAGGGGCCTCCCTGGTGGCGCAAGGGGTTAAGACACAGCACTATGAAGCTGCCTGCAGTCACTACAGCACGAGTTCAATCCCCGGCCAGAAAGATGAACCACATGGCACAGCACTGCTGACACACCCACTGCTCCTCTCAGCAGTGTATTTCAGTCAATACACCTATTCCGTTCCCCACTCTGCCTCTGGTGAATCCCAGGTCTTATATGCATAAATAAATAAATCTTTAAAAGAATAAAAAAATTAAAAGTACAAAGGAAAGTAGGAGGCCTCCCTTAGTGTTCAGATAAGGAAGGATGATGGCTTAGTGGGGCAATGGTGCCGGTGAAGCCCAGACAGTGGGGTACAGGCCAGAGATGCGGGGTGGATGGAGGTTTAGAGGATTCACCAGAGATACAGTGGGAAGCACAACAGGCAGATCCACTAAAATACACTGCTGAGGGGAGAATGGGCGAGACAGGAGAGGTCTGCTGTGCCGTGTGGGTATCTCCCTGCTTGGGCTTGAACTCGTGCTGCAGTAATGCCTATAGCTTCATAGTACTGAGATTTAACGCCTTGTGCCACCAGGGAGGCCCCTGCTTTGTACTTTTAATACATCCTCCAAGTGGATTCAGGAATGACTGTGCTAAAGCACACATCAAATTGTGTCATGTTTTCCCTCAAAAGTCTTCATTAGGGCCTCCCCGGTGGCGCAGCAGTTGAGCGCTGGGTTGCAAAGCTGCCCACGGCCTCTGCGGCGGGCGCCGGTTCGATCCCCAGCTGCTCCCCGGCCACCGGAGGAGGGTCCCTCATGGCTCGCAGACCTCTCCTGCCGCCCGCTGCTCCCCTCAGCAGTGTACTTCGGTCCTTCTGCCTGCTCTGCTCCCAGCTCTGGCCCTGGTGAGTTTTCGCACCCTCCCGCGCTTCTGACTGTACCCAGTGAATGTATAAACAAAACAAACAAACAAACAAATAAATAAATAAAACATGCCTCTATTAAAAAAAAAAAAAAAAGGTAAAAAAAAAAAAGTCTTCATTAGCTCCCTATTGCCCATCAGATGCAGTCTATGACTGCCGCCTCCCTCAAGTTGGGCCCTAGAACTTTATCACCAGGCCCCTGAGTTTAGATCCTGGCTCTACCTTGTACCAAGTGGTGATCAAGGACAAGTTACCCATAGCTCCTGACTCTGTTTCTTTCTGTAGAATGAGCATGCTAAGTGTACAGCTCACAAAGGATTAAATGAAGTGCATCCTGCATAGGCATACACAACCCAACACTTGTTGGCTTGTTAAATTGTGAGGTTTTGCCTTCTCCCTGGTCCAAGAAGTTGAGGGCAGGTACCACATGACAGTTGGACCACAGCCTCCCCCACACCCCACCTTAGTGCTGTGTCATTGCAGGAACTCAGCAATGCTTACAGACCAGGGGTAGAGTCCAGAAAAGGGGCCTGGGAGCTAGTGGAATTGATTTCTCCCCTGCCTAGAACACCCTCCTCTTTGATCTCCCGCCCCGGTGCATGCCTACTCAGGCTTCAAGACCCTGCTCTGTCTGCTACTTCCAGGAAGACGTCTCTGTTGTTCAGGTTGGGTCAGGCTCTGGAATGAGCCCACTGTACCCATGGCAGGTAAGTCTTGATCTTGCACTATCATAGAGTAGTTCTCAGTTTAGGCAGCTGACTCCAGAGAGACTGTGCTCCAGGGAGACTGTGCCACCCCAAGAGTCTGGCTCATCATCTACCCAATGAGGTTTTGATGAATGAATTCGTGAATTTTCTCTGTGACCTTGAGCTATTTTCCTCCGTCCCATTCTAACATGCAAAAGGTACTATCTACCTTGGATAAGTGGGAGGCAGTGTCCAAGAGTGGAGGGGATGGAGTGACTTGTGACCCCCACTATGTTAGTCCATCAGGGGCCGCCATGTTGACTCATTCAGTGAGGACCAGGTAGAGAAATGCCCCACACCCTCACATGCTTCTGGTGAGGCGCTCTCCTCACATGGAATGCTAGGGCACGGTCCCTTGGAAAAGCCCATTTTAAAAAAGAGGAAGTCTAGGTTTCCAGCTTCTTCCGATCCCATAACTGGGTCCTTCCCACAGGATCTGCCCCACCCTCCGGGCTATCAGCACCAACTGTGACCTTGAACTGGTCTCCAGTCATCGGTGGACCTCCAAGTTCTCCTCTCTACTGGCCACAGCTTAAGGTGCCATCATGGACTGGTGCCAGGGAAGGAGCCCAGGATGGAATCTTGGCGGACTGACCACCCCCCACCAGGGTGTTGGCCCAAGCAGGCGGGTTTCAGGTTTCAGCTTTCAGACTGTTTTCCTGTCTAGGGCACTTTCTATTTTTCAAGATTTTTCCTATCACAGCCAAACAAACAAAAAAAGAAAAGGAAATTGGTGAGCTTTCTAAGGGCTGGGAGGGTAGTGGTGGGTAGAACTCACCCTGGGAAAGGCTGGAGGCAGGGCTGGAGCGGGGAGGCCCCTAAATCCACACTACCCACCTCCCACCCTTCCCCCCTCTGGCTGACTCATTGTTTTGCAACAAACAGTGGGCTGCCAGGCCCTGGCAGTTTCTCCAAGTCCAGCCCCAAAGCAGGCTGAGTTCAATCCCAGCCCTCCAACGGCCCAGCCGGGCCTGGAATGATTGGGTTATCTCTGCCCACATCCCCTTTGTTGGGGGCGGCCACTTGCTCACCCGACATAAACAAACTCTGGATATGTGAGAAAAGAAGGGACCCTTTATCTCCCAAGGCCGCAGAGGCCCAGCTGGGGCTGCATCAGGAAAAAACAGGACTTTCTGAGATGCCTGTTCCCCAGAGAGGTTTCCCTGCCCAGAGGAGGGATCTCAGAGCACAGCATCCAGAGACCAGCGCCTGGGTTCAAAGTTCAGCTGTGCCACTTGCTGCTGGTGACCTTGGGCAAGTCACTGACCCTGTCTGCAAGTAGCTGTCTACGCCACAGAGTTCTGAGTACACAGATGGCTGGCTCTATAAATGATGTTCTTTCTTTTAAGGAACCATAGATAAGTGGTGTTCAATGGGGAAAGGGGGGTGCTGGAAGTAATGAAGTAATGTCAGATAAATTAAACCCACTCTCCCCCACTCCCCCCCACCCCCCTCCCCTGCTGTCCCCAGCAGGGCTCCTCACTCTGCATCCCTGAGCTGAGGGCATTGATGGGCCCCAGCAGGACAGGCGCTGAGGCCCCAAGCTCCTTTTCAAATGGAAGTTGTGCGGGGAAATCCTCTGGGGAGGTAGGCGCCAGCCTGGGAGGGTCCGGCCACCTGTGGGGCTGCAAGAAGAGGCTTTTGGTTTCCTGTAAAGGCTTTTGGAATTTCAAAAAGCTGTCCCACTGATGGGCAGCCTGGTGGGGTGAATGATGGAGGGAGGGGGCCTTGCTGCCAGCTGAAGTTCAATAGTGGGACCTGTCCTGTTAGTTTCTTTCCCCAAATAGCTTCTTAGCCTCGAGGTCCAGATTCAAATGCTGGTTCTGCCGGGTACTAGCTGGGAGATTGTGGGTGAGTTTCTCTCTCTGAAGTCCCATTTTTCCTGTCTCTACAAAGAAGTAATAATCATACTTTGCGTGGCCAGCAGCGGGGTTAAAGGAGGCCACACAGGCAAAGCTCTGGTGTGGTGTGTGGGCTCCATTCGTGGGTATCATCCTGCATACCCCCGCCCCACCTCATCCGGGACCTGCAAATCTCCTTACTTCTAGCCTGACTCCATTTGGCAGTAGGTCGGTTTTCCCCACCCCACGCTGCTGCTTCCTGTATCCTTCACGATGAGGTCAAGGAGCTTGAAACCACTTCCTCAGCCTCTTCCTCCCTGGTTTCCCTGAAGGGAGCCAATACTGCCCAGAAGGTAACTGCTGTCCTCTGAGTCCTTCAGAGTCCGAGAGATTGGGATTGACATCCAGGCTTCACCGTCATTTGTGACTCCGAGTCATAAGTCATGTGTCTTTTCCAAGCCTCTGTCTCTCAGGTATCTCTTCAGCAAATATTTCTGAGCACTTGTTCTGTGGCTGATACTGTGTAAGGTGCTGCAGGTGCTGCAGGTAAGTAAGACAGATCCAATCCCTGCCCTTGGACAGTTCTAATCTCTCAAGGGAGACATATATTAAATGCATACCCAGACACAATTATTGAATGCTACAGAGGGTGAGGGTCACTATAGGATAATATATTTCTTGGGGGCTCCTGGGAAGGTATCCCTGAAATTTAAGTCAGGACCTGAAGGAAATCTAAAAATGGTAAGAATTGGGGAAATGGAGGGAGAGAATGCTGTACAGATAACAGAAGTGGCATGTATAAATTTCCTGGAGTGGTAACAGGGTGGTCCCCAGGAAAAGGGGAGGTTCCAGTTTCTGGGGTGCCCCTCTGCCTGCCCTGTAATGGGGTCAGCAGAGTTTGGTACTTGTACTGAAAGGCGCCCATGGTGAGCGAACAAAAGAAAGATTCAAGGTGATATGGCAAGTAGAGGGACTAGACCTGGCAGGACTGCACAGAACTTGAGAAGGGCTTTGGACTAGAGTCATTGAGTAGTTTTAAAAAATGGGAGAAATATGATTAGAACTCTTTCAACAAGTCTCTAAGTCTGCATGGATAATAACAGAGTGAATTCTGGAAGACCAAGGAGGAAGCTATCTTTCAAAGGAGGGGCCTATGGTTGAACTAGGTACAGCAGAGCTGGAGAGAAGGGAATCAAGACATATTTAGGGAGTCAGTGCAATAGGAATTGTTTATAGGGTGTTTATGGAAGTGGAAAGATATACAAGGCCTCAAATATAACTCAGGTTTCTGCTGATCGACAATGGATGGAGGGCAGGGCCAGTTACCAAGAGAGGTAGCTCAAGGAAGGGGCAGATTTGGCTGGAGAGATAGGGGTTTTTAGTTGTAAACTCCTACGGTTTAAAATATCTATAAGGCCTCCGTGGTGGTGCGAGGGGTTAAGCACAACACTGTGAAGCTATCCACAGCACAAGTTCGATCCCTGGCTGGCCAGGGAGCTACCCACACAGTGCAGCAGACCTCTCCTGTCTCACCTGCTGCTCCCCCAGCAGTGTATTTCAGTCAGTCTGCCTGTTCTGTTCCCCACTCTGTCTCTGGTAAGTCCTCTCACCCCTGGCACCTCTGGCCTGTACCCCAGTTCTTGTATGCAAAAATAAATAAATATTTTGAAAAAAATAAAATAAAATATCTATATCAAATAAGCAGCCGGGTATACCAATCCTACTTTCCAAAGGAGGGCTATGTTGAAAGTCTGAAACTACAGGAATGGAATTAACATGGAAATGGACAAGCCAGCCTGGGAGAGGAGAGAGTAATCCATGCTAACCAAGGCCTAAGCGCATCCCAGGGAGGTATCAGGGGAAAAGAACCGTCTGTTTTATCAGTTGTATCATGCACGTAATAGTACCCAGAGGGTTATCATGCATAACTGAGGGTGATATGGACTAAGGGGTGGAAGGCTCCTACTCAGTGCTGGCACAAAGTAATGCGCCAGAAACATGGGTAGCAACACTGGGATGATATATTTGGCCACCCATTCTATTCATTTGCAAGTGACTGAAACTTAAACTAGTTTTAGAAAAAAACGGTGACTGCAGTGGAGAGGTCTCCCACAATCAGCAGAGTAAGAGCTGAGTGACCAAGCCACAGGGAAGGGTGGGAGCATGGTCCTCTGGGGTCCTGTAACTCGTTGGGCTCAACTTCTTTCACTTCCCTAGGGACAAAGCTACTGATCCACCTGCAACTCATGTGTTGATGTTCCCTCCACTGGAGAGGCACTTATATTCTCTTTGATCCCATGTGAAAAAATTTGCAGGGAGGACGCTAAATGGCTCCACTTTGTTGAGGGATCTACCGTGTCACCACTCAGTACAGGGGGAGCCAAGGGGTTCTGCTACCATAACACAGCACTATCATATTGCCAGGAAGAGAGCTGCTTATTCAGCAAAACAATAAGCAGGCCTCTCCAATTATTAACCTGGAAATGTGCTTGCAGTCAAGAAAGGAGGCTGATTTTAGTGCCTGAGGTGATTAAAAGCAAAACAGAAGCCCCGGCTGTGTGGTTATTTGTTGATCCTGACACTCCCAAGATAACCACTCCTTCCCACTCCCAATCAGCCAGAGGCGTCGTGGCTCTAGGTCCCACATGCCCTCTACCAGGCAGCCCTTGCAGGTGGACCACCCCATGGTCCCACTTTGAAGGGCACCCTCCCACCGCCCCACCCCAGTGATGAGGCCTTCATTGGCCATTCTGCACCCTAAGACTGAAACCAGCTTCCTGTTTGACCTCCCCCATCACATCAGTTACGGCCTACCTTACTCCAGACCTCATCCAGGGTGGGTACCCCCACCTCCCCAGTCTCACGTTCCTCCCAGTGACCTCTGAACAGCCTGCTGCAATGTTCATTGCTTGTATTACAGGGCACATGCACTTGGTGAAGTTAGTAAGAGTTTGTACATGCTTACTCTTGTTTACCAACTGAAGTACACACCAACACCCCCATCTGACAAGAGGAACGGGGCGCAGTGCATTTCAGTAACTTGCTCTGAATTACAGAAAGACACCATTGGTTAGGGAAGTAATCCAGATTTGAATTCAAGACTAATAACCAACCTTAAAACCCTCTAAACCATGGGCCAGTAAATGATGACCCCAGGGACCAAACTCTGCTTTTATTCAATCTGAGAGCTAATGATTTTTACATGGCTGGAAAAAAAAATTAAGTGTAAAATCACTTATTAAAATGAACATTTCCGTGCCCACAAATGGCTTTCTGGGAACACAGGCACACTCATCCATTTAGATATTGTCTGTAGCTGATATGCACTGCAGTGGTGGGATAGAGGACTTGTGGTTCTTCCAAGGGGTTTGCTGGGCTTTCCTGGCAGCTCAAGGGGTTAAGCACAGCACTGTGAAGCTATCCACAGCCTCTGAAGCATGAGTTCGATCCCCAACTGGCCAGGGAGCTACCCACATGGTGCAGCAGACCTCTTCTGTCTTGCCCGCTGCTCCCCTCAGCAGTGTATTTCAGTCAGTCTGCCTGTTCTGTTCCCCACTCTGGTGAATCCTCTCACCCCCTGCTCCACTGGCCTTTACCCCAGTTCCTGTATACATAAAATAAATAAATCTTTTTTTTTAAAAAGGGTTGGGGGGGGAGGCTTGCTGACCCTGCTCTAAAAGGCTTGGCCACCAGCCTGCCTTCGCCTGGCTGTTCCATAGCTTAATGACTTCCAAACACCCACCAGCTCCCAGGGTTGCTGTCTTTCTGTGTGCAAAGCCCAGAGGAGAGTCTTGGAGGGAAAGCGAGGCAGGTTTCAGCCTCTTTGTACCTCAAACTCTTAAGACTTCCCCAAAATGGGACTGAAGATTCAAGATCTGAGAACACCCAGAAATCACTTCCAGACCAGCCTTCTGGGGTCCCCCTGACTAAGCCAGACTCTACATCCCAGGCCCATCCCATGATGGGCCTCA